TGTATTATGGGCCAAAGGTAATAATCCCAAAAAGAGAGCGCAAATGCCTTGCCTTGACAGCTTGCCTTCTAGTAATATAATTTGTAGATTCGAGAAGCTTTGAGTTATACTCTGCAAAGAACTATCAAAAGAAGAATAGGAAAAGGTTACAAGTTGAGCTAAACCAGGAAAACAAGTAACAAACTATTAATATCCAGTGCTAAATTAAAAATTTAGAACTTAAGCACATAAATAGAGTTCTGCATCACTATTTCGGCAACACGTAGACACAACAAAGGCAGAATTATTTGTAACCATCTTTAAATGAAAAGAGAGCTAAGAAACAAGAGTTATTTTTTAAAAAAATCTCGTCCATAATATCGAGCATCTTTATATTTAGAGAGTAAAATTTTTGACACACTCCTACAAAATCTTTATTTTTCTTTTTCCTAAATGCTTTTCACTGATATATGCGTATATTTTCAAATGTCAATGGCCAATAAATTCAAATATGTTTTAAATAATCTAAGAAATGGAACATTGAAATTTATTTAGGGTTTGTTTGAGCCCCCCATTTTTTTGGGTGAATAGACTTTGTAATAGCGATTTTTTTTGAGAATGAGTTTAAAAAATACAGAAGAATTTTGGATTTTCCTATAAAATTATTTTATTGGAAGAACGTGTGATTGAAAATGAATTAGGGGAAAAATGAGTTTTTAAAGTATGGAGCTCAAACGGGGCTTTAATGCAATCATCATAAAGTACAAATAGAGAGTTACTTTCTATTTAAAAAGTTAAAAAAGAGTCTATTGGTGTGTAATTAAAGGATCGACTCTCTAAAATAGAGAGCACCTTATATTTAAAGAATCTCTTGGATATGCTCTAAATGGTGAATAAGTGACAGGCATAAAACATTGGAATGAAGAAGATAGTGTCTCAACATGTGTACGGCAGTGAACGGGTGAAGATGCTTATCAACAATGATACAGTTCACTTAAATACAAGCCACCTACCCAGTCGTAATTTTTAGAAAGAAATTCAGATACCGTCGACTTATGCCTTGTCAAAAGTTCCTGAAACAAGGCAGAAGAAAATGTGAGTTAAATTATGGTATTCCCAGCTCAATGCCGGACAAACATTATAATGCAAAAGAAACAGCAGAAAATCAATATATGCGACTACATATCCCATATTTGCTCAGCTATGACAAGTAAAGGCAGAATTATAAGTTCAAAATTTCACAATACAGTGGCTTCTTATGGATTAAGATGACAGATACGTGAGTGACAGCAATGTACCCATTCTTCAAATAATGCGGTGTACACATGTACAAGAAATTGAAGCCCTTGCTTGATTTTAATTTTTAGAGAAGTGATTTTGTGAAAAGTGATTTTTTTGGAGGTGTGGTTGAAAATGTGTTCGAGGAAAATTCATTTCGAACAAATCAAAATCAAACAAGGGCCAATATTCCCTTTCTTTAAGGATTTAGGATGTCCCGACATACATGGTCAATTTGTAGTAGATTCGTGAACTTCCTAAATGGTCACTTTTACAAGATATTTCACAAAACTAAACCATTTACGTTATTGTGATTATAGAAAATAGGAAAATCTGTGCTGTATCCAGTGGATATATGCCATTAAAAAAAAAAAAAAAAATTGGAGTCACCAGAAAAGACTCAATTGAAAATGACATTAATAAGAATCTCAGAGACAACAAAACTAATAAAAACCTCTCCTACACACCCACCCCTTTTTTCCTCTTCTTCTACATCTGCAGTAGGTCATGGGGATCTAAACCAATAATTTATTTATTTTTGAATGAAAACCAAAAGAAAAAAAATAGAAGGAAAAAAATTCAAGAAAGAGTTCATAGATGAAGAAAATCACTAATTCAATAAGGACTTAACCTTGAAAGTGGCAGCAGCATCAGAAGCTATATCAAAATTTGGAAGTTGTATGAAATCAAAAAATTTCTTCATGTGCTCTGATTCCAGAACATACCTGTGAAAGCAAATCACATATTAAAATTAAAAATAGATTCAGCATCAAATTCTACTTTTGCACTAACAGCTAAAAATAAATAAAATAAATAAAAATTCAACGTGATATGAAAACAAATGCCTAGAAAATAGTGTATAATTGCCTACCCTAATCAGATGAAGAAAATTTGAGATATTCACTTCAAAAAAATTGTAAGAGCAAGTATCAATCAACATTCCCAGAATGCTTGTGTAACAGACAAAGGCTCATTTATCCATTTTCTTTGTGAAATGTAAAGTGCCAAATTTCATGAAGCTCAAAGACATGAGATGAACAAATATAGAACACAGTTTGCATTTCATATATTGTTCATTTTTCACAATTTATTAATAAGAATAAGACCATAATCGTCCAACAGTCAGCAACTAAGGGAAGCGGAGGACCCAACATTTTATTTGTCACCAGCAACCAACCTTGATGATCTCAACAAAGATAATTCAAAAAAGGAAAATGCTGTGTACCTAATTGTGTACACGTAGCATTACACCCCCCTCATATGGAGGAAGGCCCACACACAATAAAATATTCGTGGGCCCCCCTCCATGTGAGAGGGTTGTAATGCATTGTGTACACCATGAGGTGTACACACAGCATTTCCCATTCAAAAAATTCAAGTAAGATCTAAAAAACTAAAAGAATGTGCTATTACCATAATTTATATATAGTTTCAGAAAATAATGCATAGCATAGCGGTATTCTCTGATGATTGGTACTTAAATTAACTCGGATGGACCTCCAATTAACTTGAAAGTTACTTCTAGTCAACTTTTTGTTACTTATTATAAATAAATATCTGAATTAGCACATAAACAAATCATCTACTCACCTAGCAACACTTTGGTGGCGAATGCACTCCCTCAACATTGCACCATAATGTAATGCCAAATCTGTATTCTCATACCTACACGATCCCGTAGCAAAGTAAAATAGAAGTCAATCACCAGTTGAAGAATATAGGCTTTTAAGCAGTGTCAGAAAATGGGAAGGCAAAAATAAATAAATAAATAAAATAAAATATTAACTGCAGCCTATTTGGACATGCTCAACAGAGACAGAAAGATAACTTCTTAAAGGAAACTCTCACCAAGGGCAATACCAGTAAGGAAAGCAACAAAATAATACTTCTAATCTCTCTCTTCAGCCATAATCTAGTAACTTTTTTGACAGCCACATAAAAATGGTCCCTTAAATCCATATATTTTTATGCAGTTATTTATATTATTGGTTTAAAATATTCACATTATTTGAAGGAAATTTTTTTCTGAGTCGGTCTTTTATGGTCAAGATTTCATAAATAAATAACACATTACACGCCAAAATTCCTCAATTTGACAACAAAGGTGAAGGAAATTTAATGGACGTATAAAGCTCAGGACCCTCAGATTCAGTATAGATACATACACGTGTCCAGTTAGAATAGACTCAGATTTATAGTTTTCAGGGAAATTTGTACTAGGTTGGTTGCGTTAACATTTGGCAAAAAGCAAAGCTCCATCTCATCATGAAGAAGGTATATAGAAAAACAGAGGCCAAGTGAACTTGCGGAAGAAAGTAAAGTTGTACATTTATTCCCCTCACAGAAGCAGTTCAAAATAACGTGAAGCTAATAGTTTTCAAATTGTTAGTGGAGAATTTTTTAACTGGCACTACTGCACCTCTCGCATTCACAACAGCAGTGCAATCCCAATAGAGGGGAGAGGTGGACAATTACAATGATTTCTTAAAGGATTTATCTTTACTGAAATTTTCAATAGATTTAGAACCTATATCAAATAGAATTGCAGAAACATGATTGATGTAGTCAAATCAAAGTTGATTGGGAATGAGACTTAGCTTCTTGTTGTTTTGACCAAACTATCAAAACTCTATAAAGTAAACTGCTCACAGAAACAACAGGTGGGAGGGAAGAGCAATAGTGTGTGTGTGCACGCGCGTGAGAGAGAGAGAACCTTGTTTCAAATGAAGAAAAGAAAATGCACACGGAATATTTCCTCTGCTAAAAATTAAAACAGAAGTTCATATATTGAAGTATCTTTTCAATTATTTTGTATCTTCAACAAGCAAGAGAGTTATGTCCCTATGATTTACTATGGGATTGAGTTGATTTTCCTATTCTCCAAGTTCCTAAAGATATGGAATACAGACGAAATTAATTCAACAGTTCACAACCAAGAAAGACATCTTGCCATGCCTGCTTACCCTGCTATCAAGGTATCCATTAGATCAATGTTTTTTTCCAAGTAATCACAAGCAATCAATCGTGACTGAACCTGTTGCCTCTGCAGATTTGCAACAACCTGAGTAGCATCTTTGCGGGTCTGCAGAAGTACATCTTATTAGTCATCACAATTATCCTTATCAGTCATCTCAATAAAGCAACCATGCATTGCAAATGTAACTTCAACAACATACGCACTAGGAATAGTAATGGCCACTGAATTACTCTCTTAAAGTCGGTAACAAAATTAATAGAAACTATAACTACGTAGTATTCTGAAATATCTTTGTGCTGAACTAAATATCCATATCACATTACTTCTAGATTCAACTTTGGCAGACATGTAATTAGCAGGCGTAGAGTGTTCTCTCTGAAAAACTCCTGAGTCAACTGTGTGCAAGCTTCTGAGACGGGCTCAGATTCACTGTCTCCGTAAAGTACTGACTTCAGATCGCGGATTAGTTTGCTCAACTCCATCATCTGCAGAGGAAAGACTGATTGAGCAACAAAAGAGCTAAAAATTAATGGTTCTGATCAGCTAATACATTAACACTTGGCATAGCAATATGCATCAAACACTGCAAACTTAAACTTTATAGCACATAGGACGGCTATAATTTCCTTATCCGGGTTATCTCAATTCTTTTTTCTTTCTTTATTATTATTATTATTATTTTTTTTTTTGTGAAAAATGAAATGCAACAACTAAAGCCAATTAAACTTCTCACCTAGCATAACAGGATCAATTCGTATCATGAATACACACCGATCTCAGTAGACTATAGGCTCCCACGGTCAAATAAATCAAACCAAATCAATTAAAAATCAATTTTCGCTTTCATACGAGAAAAAAACACAGAAAACAACTTAGCACGACACCTAAAAAGTATCCACTTGATTCAGATCCAAACTTTTTCATGACGAGTAGAATAAAACGAGATAAAAAAAAACCGAATAATGCGCCGAAAAAGAAAAAAATAGAATCGGGAACCTTCTCTTCGCGCTTGCTCTCCTTAGTATCCGTCCCGCGATCAGCCAAGATGAGGAGATCCCGGGTCTGGCGAACCAGGTCAGCAGGCGTCTTGGGCTTCGGCTTGAATAGCGCCTTCATCTTCGCATTCTCGCCACCACCATCGGTGTTTTCCGGCAGCGGGACCCTCCTGACCACCGCCTGTGACGCCGAGGCACTCCGCGCAGCCGGATGGCCGCCGGTTGACAAACACCCTCCTATTTTTCCTAACTTTTTCCTTCCCCACACAACCTTTAACGATCACTATGACTAATTCACTGCTCTTTAACTTAGGGTTTCAAATTGCTTTCAATTTGTGCAGATTTTACCTGAATTTTGCCATTCCTGCTTAGGATTATTCTCAGCCTACTCGAATCCTCATTTATCTAGGTGCACTCAGCCAGGTCGTAGGTCGCTTCCTGATTTCTGCGTGATCGAAATGAAACGGATAGATAAATATATCTGGGAATTAGATTTTCTTTATAATCTCTTTCTCACTTTGTTGTCTGTGATTGATTTGTATTATGGGGTAACCGTTTTTCGTCTCGATAATTCTTATTTTTCTCAAATAAATAAATAAAATTTTATCTAATGAAACCTTTGATATTTCCACTCGACGAAAATTGACAAAATTTATATGTTTCTTGTAGAATATTTTTTTGAAAAAAGCTGCCTTAATTAATATTTGAAAGAGCTTATAATTTCATCTGAAATTCTTTTAATTAGAAGAAATACTTTTATTAAATTAATGAAACGAATCCAAAAGCAATTTTAAGTATCGAAAGCTCCTTCTAGCTCCTCGATAGTCATGTCAAACGTGTCTTTGAACCCATTTATTCTAAAAGCTCTTCTAATCAATAAAACCCTTAAAAAAATTATTCAAAAGCATATTTTAACTTTTCAGAACCTCTATCAAACCAACCCTAAAGCCATTTTTGACGACGATGCTAAATATTGAATAGTCCAAACTTTAAATATTAAAATCTCATTTGATAAAAAAATATTCGAAAAAGAGAGGTCAAAATTGATTATTTTTTGTGATTTTGAGTATTTGATTATGCCATAGTCCATGCCTACAAAAATTGCATTAATTATATCATTGTTGAAGTCAATTTTTTATACTCTAATCTCATTATGCTCATGTTAATTTCAGTTAGATCTACTTATGCCAAGTGATCTTAATCGACATATTTTCCTATCCACTTTAAACCTTATTTTTTCTTGGTGGGGATTAAAAGGGTATTTTCCCTTGCTGGATCAATGGGCCGGAAACTTTTCAAAGAGATTGGAGGTGCGTGCCATCGGCAGAGCTGATTCACTTGTCTTGCCTATTAAAACATCCACAAGGACCACACCTTTTTAAGATCAATGTTCATTTTTATGAATATTTCTAGATAAATCCTATGCCACTTGGGAATTCTTGTTGGTTTTTCGTGCATCAGATAGGCCATGTTTGGCTAAGGAAAAGTAACATGTCAAAATTATCGTTTCTTCTATCTTAGGTTAAGATCAACAAAAATTATCTACTCTCTCTTGTCCTTCTCCTTCTCCTTCTTATTATTATTATTATTATTAATTTTTTTGCAGTTTAATTATCACATACCTCAGTATTTGTCGTGATACAACAATCCACCATTCAATTCTATCAATCTATAATTTAAACCATTCGTAATCACATCCTAACATGCTTTTACAAGATACACACACAATTGAGTTAAAGGATAATGTAAAAGTGAAAAGGCGTATAGCTAAAAAAAAAAAATGCATTAATTTTTGAAGGTTGGGTTGAGAGGTTGAGAAAAAGATGACTCAGATGAGTTTAGTACACTTATCACTTGGTGACACAAACTAGCTGCAATTTTTTACAGTACTTAGTATTGCTCATAGAATATGTTATTCTGTCTGTATAACTTGCGTTGGTTTAGTTGAATTTGCGATCGTGTCCATTTTTAGAATAGCATAAAAAATATTGATTCTCAAAACTTATTTTCTAGATAAAACAGAGGCTACTCAGTAGGAATTTAATTTCAATCTTTGTGGATTCGACATCCATGCTTGGCATTATATTACAAAACTTGACATCGTACGCTTATGGTATAATTTACATTGTGGAAAACGTGTAACAACCCCATAGGCCTTTTTGTAATTGCTCCGTTGGTTATTTTTGCTGAAGATTCTAGAATCAGTTATTTATTTTGTTTTGCCACCTATATATTCTTTTTTTTTTTTTACGAGGGAACCCGCAACCGCTACCCTTCGGATGCGCACTGGTTAAACCCTCGGGCTGATGCAATAGCCTGCAAACCACGCCAATCAGGTAAACCGCACTAGGTAAGCCCTGTGCGACAGGTTTCGATCGAGAAAGTGTTGGTAGGGGGAATCGAACTCATGATCAATGGCCTCCGTGCTCACCTTGTAACGCCCCAACCCCTTGTGGACCGAAACGCTGCTTACTTTACTTAGCTAACCGGTGGTTTAGTCATAGGAGAATATGTTTTAGTGGAAGCTTAATTTTAACAATGATAATTTTAACAACAACCTTTCGAATACTTTAAATAAAACACTGAATAGAAAAAAAGGGAACGTAATTTATTTGAAGAAAACATAACTTGTTCTCGCGTTCAGCGTTATTCAAATACTTTAAAGAAATAACATTGAAAACGTTCACAAAAATAAATCTAAATAACTTGTTCACCGGGTTTTCCATGGGCTCGTTGCACCACTCTCCATCTTTTCCATCATCCAGGTTCAAGGTAGAATCATATCAATTTGTAGAGAAAGGGTTAAACACGTGAGTTAAAAAAACTCAATAGATATCATTGGTGCATTCGTGATCAAGCTATACATTTCAAAGCTGTAACTTTAGAAACCTTTTCATAGTAGGATTTTCGGTAGAATCCCAAACACGTAGAGTCATGACGTAACACGATGCCTCGACCAGAAGTACATGCCGTACTCGGAGGTACCATTAGGCATGGAGGTGTATGCCGTACCGGAGGTACCATTAGACATACAAACATTAACATAAATTTTCATTTGCTAGAAACTTATAACTTAACACGAATTAACACTTTGCACCTCTACCTACCTTGATTGATGCTTTGAACCTTGTTGAAAAATGCACTCTTTTGATGTTTCAAAAAAACACTCCGTTAAGAATTGATGTTTGGAAAATACTTTTTGATAGCACCAAAACTTTTAGGAAAAACTAATTTTCCTCCCGCTCCTTTCTCTTTTTTCTAGACTTGAAAACTCTCTCTTTTATGT